ACAGTCGGGCAATTTTGGCTTGCAATAAAAAAAAATGTGACAAATTCTGTAAATTTTGTCTAAAATTAAGTCAATTTCTTGGCAAATTTTGTGATTTTTCGAAAATTTTGTGTATGTTCCGAAAAATATTGGTTGTCTGGAAAATTTTTTTGACCCCTAAAATGGTACACTGACCGAAATTTTTTGGGGGGGGGGGTACTAGTCGGGCAAAATCTCGAAAAGTCGGGCAATTTTCTTTCCGCCCCCCTAATTTTTTCCTTCCGGTACGCCCATGGCTCTCAATGCAGGAAAAACCAAATGTATGGTTTTTTCAACTCAGCAGATGGCAAGTACTCACTCACTACATTTGCACGAGACCAGTCTAGCGGTTGATGGTAAATTATTAGACCGAATACGCGTCACAAAACTGCTTGGTTTGCACATTACCGAAAACCTTACTTGGAATGATCATATTAAACAATTGTCCTCGACTTGCTACAGCGCCTTGGTCACTCTTAGGAAAATAAAGAACTTTACTCCATTTTATTTACGAAAGCAGTTGGCCGAACAGCTTATTTTGTCCAAGATGGACTACGGTGATCTTGTTTTTAACCCTCTCCCCGACTACCTTTTAGGTAGGCTGCAAAAGATCCAGTTTTTGGCAGCTAGTTTTGTTACCGGAAAATATGCGAACTCTGCGGAAACTCTATTAAAGCTTAACTGGCTGCCGATGCGTGAACATAGGGATTTCAACCTACTCAAAGCCACCCATAAAGCAATTTATTCACAGAACTGGCCGAAGTATGCTGCAGTTGAACTATATAAACCAGCTCGCAGCCTACGCTCGAGTACCAGCTTAAATTTGGTTAGGCCCATGGAAAAGGGTACTTTCCAAGACATTTCATCCGAACTGTTCAATAGCCTACCATCTGACATTAGATCTATATACGACTACAGTCAATTCTGTACAAAACTTAGGGCTGTACTAAATTTAGTCTCGTATAATGTAAATATGCACTAACATTTTATCTAAATATTCACTTTCTATATTACCTAAGTTTGTGTATATATTTACACTTAGCTAAAAAATTTTGTATGTAGTTTCAATAGGGGAAGAGCCACCTCGTGGATCTTATTGATTAAATCATTATTATTATTATTATTATTATTATAAACAAAGATGTTGGTCCAGGATTCAGGCAGTGAATTCGATGTTTCTAGATCAATGTTTCATGTTTGATTGTTATAAATACATTATATAGATATTTCCGAATCAGTGTTAGAGGCGAATGTTTGTTCATTGTCTGAAGGATTTTGAGGCAAACAGAAAGGTGTAACGGTTCAGCTCTGCTGAAAGGTGTAACGGTTCGGAAACAGAAAGGTGTAATGGTTCAGCTCTTGGTAAATGCCAAGCTAATTTTGGCGTACAATCATATGGCCGTACGCCTATTTTTAAAGCCCTGCTGGCCCGTGCCAATTGATTTTACTCATCAAAGGGAGTTGTGTACTATGGGTAATACATTTGATCAACATATTTTCTTTTAGTTTCTTTGGATGAGGATGAAGCAGAAAAACAACGGAGAACAATTGTTGCAAAATATGATCGGGTTAGTACAAACTATCTGTCTTGTTCATCTACACAATGTCATGCAGGTTTGTATCCATCAGGCCTTGAATTTCCCTGAAATCAATCGACGGCAATGGCGTTAAAAATTGCTGTAGAACGTAACAGCTGTCTACGGCAATTTTGACAGTTTCCACGGCATTTTTCAAATTACTGTAATAAAACTTTAATTTTATTGTTACTTTGGATTTTTGACAAGCTAGAAACATGTCTATGTATTTCTTTAGTGTTTTTTTCCGAAGAAAACTGAGATTGATCAACATCTGAATTCAAGTATCAAAATAGTAATCACAGTGAATAGTATAAAAATTGCACTATACGGCAAAAAGTTGCCGCAATGATCCACGGCATTTTGTTCTCCCTCAATGGCAATTGCCGCCATAAAATTCGAGCCGTGGTATCCATCCTAATGGATCCTACAGTATATTTACAAATACAATATTATTATTAGATGAACTATCAAGAAAATACTGTATTGCCACTATTGGACATGCCACATTCATAAGAAAATACTGTATTGGAACTATTGCTATTATAGATCACACTATTCTAGCTAGTTCATCTGGATAGTTTGTTTTGTGTTTACACTAATGGGCTGTTTATATGGAAGCTGGGCTGTTTATATGGAAGCTGGCTGGTATATGGAAGCTGGGCTGTTTATATGGAAGCTGGGCTGGCCCACTTAGCACGACAGCCTGGTAAGCGAGATCTCGCAGTGTAGTTACTTTTATAGTAAAAATTACCACGCGTTGAAATGCACAAATGGGCTGGCCTGGTTGCAGAGATCTTGTTTGAAAGAGGTCTCCCTCACCGGGATGAAAATGTCTCCATATAAACACTTGCAAGTGGGCTGTCTCGGTTGCCGGGATGACTGAGTTCAAAGTTGCCGCTGCAAGCTATTTTCAACAACTGTCAAAATAATTTCAAAACATCAAAATTGTCCCATGCAGCAAGCATTTATGATGAAATTTTCTCATAAACACAAGAGAAATTCATCGCACTTACCAAGCTGTCTCGCTAAGCAGGCCAGCCCAGATTTCATATAAACAGCCCATAAGAAGGATGATCTATCAGATGCACAAGTCTTGATGGATGATCTGTTGCTAGTATAAATGAATAACCAGGATATTTTGCTTACTGTATCAAGGGTTATCAACCAGAAGAGTTGGAGGAGTGGGAGGATGCAAGTTATATTGTTTATCAAGTCACAGATAGATATGGATTTATGCAGTAAGTTGTACAGCTGAGCGAATATACCCATCCGGAAAGTACTGTATGTCACTTTGTCCAAAGAGCCTTGTTTTTGTGTAAGTAACATTAGTTCTTAATTAAAGTCCAACATCTCAATCACGAAAACCAGGCTCTATAGCCAAGGTGACGTACATGTACCGTACTATACAATTACTTTATGGTTTCCGTGTTTGGATGGCCTGATCCAAACACGCGGGAATGTTGCGAGGGTTAAGAAAAGCGAGCGAAATCACGAGCCGAAGGCGAGTGATTTTGCCCGCTTTTCTTAACTCGAGCAACATTCCCAAGTGTTTGGATCATTCCATCCAAACAGGGAAACCATAAAGTAATTGTTTTATAAAATAACAACAACACGAATTTAGTCTTCCGTGTTTGGATGGCCTTATCCAAACACAGCTTTCGACCAATCAGAATACGCGTTATGTACATGTTATTTTATAATGTACTTTCCAGAAGGGTATATTAACATGCAATTACACATTACCTACATAAAGGCCCGTTTACATGGGCAATTTTTATTAGTTGCGATTTTCTCCTTTTGGAGGATGTGAAGGAGTAGATTACTTAATGATGTTGTTATGAAATTTCATAACCTGGAACATTTATAACTGATCTACTCCTTCACATCCTCCAAAAGGAGAAAATCTCAACTGAAATCGCAGCAAAAATCCCTGTGTAAATGGGCCTTAATGTCTATAAAAAAATCATCTCAGGATAAGGCACTAAAATCCCCATCATTTTGCCAAAATGAGTCTGTAATCTCCCTGTTAGCTATTCAGGATCTGAAATTTGCAGTATCCCGATATCCACAGGGTACTAAAATTTGATTCTGGAAACTGTAAATGACTTGTATCCTGACTGGATATTACAAAATTTCAAACAGGATAATGCTAAATGTCTCTGGTAATCTCTCAATAGCCAAGGGTGGGTAGTAGCAAAGTAGTTGTAGTTCGCTACTGTAGCGAACTACAATTTTCAAGTAGCCAGTAGTTTTTGACTACTTTTTTAAAACAGTAGCTGTAGTTATAGCGAACTACATTTTGCCTAAAAGTAGCCAAGTAGTTGACTACTTTTCAAACAGCGAATCGCTATTCGCTACTTTTCAAATTGTTAGCAACTTGATAGAATATAGCATGATATTGAGACACGGTTTGCTTAAAATCAATACTCAATAGTCAATTTGCACTCCTGAACACTGTAGTGCTTACAAAAATGTTGCTTTGTGTTTACTGTTGCTACTCGTAAGTCGATTTGTTATAGGTTACATTACAGCCTGAGTTAGTAGATGCTCCAAATACAGTAAAACTAAAAAATATAGCGTAGCGAAATAGCGAAATAGTTCGCTACATTTTTTAAGCAGTAGCTGTAGTCAGTAGCGAACTACCTTTGTTCAAAAGTAGCAGTAGTTGTAGCTGACTACATATTTTTGAAGTAGCTGTAGTTATAGCGAACTACAAAAATTTTGTAGTCAACCAAACCTTGTCAATAGCTTTGAATACTACAATGAATCTGCCTTCTTGAAAGTAACCAGCCTATGATTTCTAACTTGGTGAGATACTGGGTCCTCAGATACTGGGTCCTCAGATGGGATACTAGAACTTTAAATCCTGGTTTCTCGGTGGACTACTGAAAAAAATTAAATTTCAGACCGTGACTGAGCTATTAACCCACAGCTTCCTTCCTTCAATTTTCAGTAAAAAACCATTGGCTGATGATAGAGATGCAAGGGTAAGACTTTCTTCTCAAGTGAAACTTTCCAATTTTTAAACTAATACCGGCAGCTAGCAAGGGTTTGACATTTCAACATTTTTCTCATCTAGTTACTTATCCAAGAACGTGAACGAGCTTTAAAATGGAAGAAAATGTTTGACAAGTGGGACAAATATTCACGAAGTGATAAGGTATCTAGATACACAAAAAACTACACACTTGGAAAATTTCAAATTCCACAAAATTTGTGAGAACTTTCAATGCGAACATGGGTTGTTTGGGTCCGCTAGTATCTTCAACAACACTAAAATTATTTTGTGAAGTAAATTTTCAAGTGCAGGAGGATTGCTTTTAAATTAAAAAACACTCTAAAAATGGCTTGCACGCAATTTACAAAAATGGAAGTCTTAAAATCAGGCCTCGAATTTCTCTGAAATCAATCGACGGCAATGGCGTTAAAAATTGCCGTAGAACGTAACAGCTGTATACAGCAATTTTGGCAGTTTCCACGGCATTTTTTCAAATTAATAAAAAATTAAGTTTATTGTTACTTTGGATTGTTGACAAGCTACAGTAGAAACATGTTTACGTATTTCTTTAAGTGTTTTTTTTCGAAGGAAACTGAGACTAAAATAGTAATTTACGCATGATTTGATCAACATCTGAATTCAGTATCAAAATAGTAATGCACAGTGAATAGTATAAAAATTACACTGTATGGCAAAAAATTGCCGTTGTTGCAGCAATGATCCACGGCATTGACAAGCAATGACGAATTTTCTGTATTACAGCATAATACAATCAGTACACAGGCTACTAGCAAACATGCGCTAGCAAGAAGTGAAAGTCAAAACAGTCGAAACAAGTTTCTTTAAATTGAGGTATATTTACTCATTATTTGTATAGCTTCGCAAGAGAATATACAAAGGTATTCCTGATTCAATCAGAGGAACGGTGTGGAAAATGTTATTAGATATTGACATGATACCAAATAAAACAAGGATTTATGAAGTAAGTATAGGGACCCGCCAATCATTTCATTCCGAACTTCATAAATATTTTGAAAATATTTCATATATGTAAAATTACGATTTTCAGGAATACCGTGCTCAAGCAAGACTCAATTCACCCGACATACGACAAATTGATTTGGACGTTAATCGAACCTATCGTGATCATATCATGTTCAGAGACAGATACTCAACTAAGTATGTTGTTTTTAATCACATTTATACTGGATAGTTTTATCAGTGCTAAACTGTTTTTCCTAGAGGTCCAGTAAGGATCATCTCTTATTGATCCAGTGTTACTACAGGAGGAAACCTAAACTAAACTAACTTTATTTATACAGGATAGTTTTATCAGTTCTAAACTGTTCTTCCTAGAGTTCCAGTAAGGATCATCTCTATTGATCCAGTGTTACTACATGACGAATTCAGACGAAACCTAAACTAAACTAACTTATTTATACTAGATATAGCTCTATCAGTTCTAAACTGTTCTTCCTATAGAGGTCCAGTAAGGATCATCTCTTACTGATCCAGTGTTACTGCAGGAGCAAACCTAAACTAAACTAACTTTATTCATACTGGATAGCTCTATCAGTTTTAAACTGTTCTTCCTAGAGGTCCAGTGAGAATCATCTCTTATTGATCCAGTGTTGCTGTACTACAGGAGGAAACCTAAACTAAACTAACTTTATTTATACTGAATATCTCTATCAGTCCTAAACTGTTCTCTCTAGAGGTCCAGTGAGAATCATCTCTTATTGATCCAGTGTTACTACAGGAGGAAACTGGTGTACCTGGAGACCCACTATTAAAATAATTTAAAATAATTTAAGTTCAAGCATTGAACTAGAGATTGATGTATATTTTGTGTTATATTTACAGACAGCAAGATTTATTTCATGTGTTGGCAGCTTATTCCATGTATAACCAGGTAATTTAACAACAAAGTCTCGCTCCAAATCTCTTGTATCTAACTATTAATTCCTCACTATATTGATCTTCAGGAAGTTGGCTATTGTCAGGGAATGAGTGGAATAGCTGCCTTGCTTTTAATGTATTTAAATGAAGAGGTACAGTATGTTCAGATTTCTTCTCCTATATATACAAGCTGAAACTAAGACAGGAATTTTTTACAAAACATTAATGGTTTTGAAGATGGGAAATAATACTATTCCCATTTGTAAAACCTATCAATGGATAAGGTGAATAATTACCATTAATGGTTTTCCTTCTTTTAACCATTTTAAAATGGTTTTATTGAATATTGATGTTTAAACATCATTGTAATTATAGTTTTACCATGCGTGATATGGATGGATTTGTTCTATATTACATCATGGTGATTATAGTTTTTACCATCAATGATAAGAATGGGTTTTATTTATATTACTGTACATAATGATGCTTGTGATGTTACTCTGAGTGTATATCCACACCGCAGGCAACCTTGAAAAATATGCCTGACCACGGTGGGAATCGAACATGCGACCTTTGGAATACTAGTATTCCAAAGTAGCGTATTCCAAAGGTCGTAGGTCTAGTATTCCAAAGGTCGTAGGTTCGATTCCCACCGTGGCCAGGCATATTTTTCAAGCCTGCCCGCGGTGTGGATATACACTCAGAGTAACATCACAAGCATCATATTCACCTGAGTACATTACACCAACACAGAAAAAATTCATGATTACTAGATTACATCGATATCGAAGGAACTAGACTCAGTTCCAAAATATCACTTACTCAAACCGACCTGACCGCGTAGCTCAGTTGGCAGAGCATTGGGCTAGTATTCCAAAGGTCGTAGGTTCGATTCCCACCGTGGCCATGCATATTTTTCAAGCTTGCCCGGTGTGGATATCCACTCAGAGTAACATCACAAACATCATATTCACCTGAGTACACGACACCAACACAGAAAAAATTCACTGTACAAAATGTTAATTCCTGTGAATATTACCAACAAAATGCATATTCGTGGTATCAAATAAAGCCCATTAATGGTACGCTTAGTGTGAATCACAATTTCGACAGTTGTAGAAAAAAAAATTGATGGAAATTGTGTGGTATTTTTCACATCAATGCTTTTCAATAAATTTGAATGGTTTTAATGGGAAATACATTATGAAAATAAGAAACCATTAATGGATTATCTGTGTATGGCTGATATTATAAGAGACAAAATATTTATATCTTTTCAAGTTTTTATTTAATCAAATATCTATCTTCCAGGATGCATTTTGGGCGTTATCTGTGCTAATTACTAGCAGCAAGAAACACTCCATGCATGGTATGTGTTCTTATCTTGTATTTTTGTTTTGAAGACAATGAGCAATTCCAGCTATGGACTAAATTTTGATCTAGGCAAGAAGAACAAAATCCATCACCACAGCTAGAAAGAGCATGTTAAAATTACTAAAATTGCAAAGTTTGGTTGCGAAATGTTGTAAAATGAGGAAAATATAGCCCTGCAAAATTTGCAAGTTTTCGTTCGATTGCATAAAACAACATTTCCAGTTCACTTTTTATACATCACTTTGATTCTCTTTTAACATACACGATCCTCTAGTCCTGGACTAGGGTACATTTTGTTTTACGTCGGACAAGGCTACAGTTCGGTCGGACATCAATACACTCGTGTCGGACAAACGATAAACCTCAATGTCATTTAGGTCGGACAGAATGTCCAGTGTTTTCCGATCTACGTCGGACAATTTCACGAATGGGTCGGACAATGTCCGTGACCCACCAGTATTTCAAGACATGTATTTCTAAGCAGTACTTTATCTTATGAAAATTATTGTATGCAATCTCAACTCCACATTTATTGGTTGTAGGATTTTTTATTCCTGGATTTCCAAAACTCAAGCGGTTTCAAGACCATCACGAAGCTATTTTAAAGAAATTTGCACCAAAACTTTTTAAACATTTGGTAAGATGCACGGCGAGACTTTTGGTTCAAATTAGTCTATATATTTTGATGACTGCTTATCCATTTTAGGAAAAGGAAGGCGTCTATACAAGTCTGTATACACTCAAATGGTTTATGCAGTGTTTCCTAGATAGGGTAAGCTTTATGATGTTTTAATAACAAACACTTCTTAGAGATTCAGCAAGTGTTACTACAGGAGGAAACCTCAAGCTAAACTCTATTTATACTGAATGAATGAATGAACAACTTTATTTAAAGAGGGTAAAAACACATGACAGCAATATAACTGAAAAACCTGTGACCCTCATATACAATACATGCAAAGTTATTAATTCTACTTTAAAACGTCTAAAAGCTACTTAGAGTAAATATGTAAAAGATCTTAGGATTATAAATTTATATAATATACAAATTATACACAGTACAACTTGCTGATCACAATAATAATTCAAAGCGATCGATGCCCTTATAAGATTCTAAGAAGTATTTTTTAAGGGCAAACTTAAAGGAATTAACGCCAGGTTTCGTCTTAATATCCTTCGGGAGATTGTTCCATACTGGATAACTCTGTCCAATAAGAGTGATCTACTTGATCTCTTATTGATCCAGTGTTAGCACAGGAGGAAACCCAAACTAAACTAACTTAATTTATACTGGATATAGCTCTATCATTTTAAAATTGTTCTTCCTAGAGGTCCAGTAAGAATCATCTCTTATTGATCCGGTATTACTACAGGAGGAAACCTAAACTAAACCAAGTTCATTTATACTGGATAGCTCTATCATTTTTAAACTGTTCTCCCAAAGGTCCTGTAAGAATCATCTCTTATTGATCCGGTGTTACTACAGGAGGAAACCTAAACTAAACTAGCTTTATTTATACTGGATAGCTCTATCAGTTCTAAACTGTTCTCCCTAGAGGTTCAGTAAGGATCATCTCTTAATGATCTAGTGTTTAATACTATACTCCTGTATAGGAAACCTAAACTAAACTAACTTTAATTATACTGGATAGCTCTATCAGTTCTAAACTGTTCTCCTTAGAGGTCCGATAAGGATCATCTCTTATTGATCCAATGTTACTACAGGAGGAAACCTAAACTAACTTTATTTATACTGCATGGATAGCTTTATCAGTTCTAAACTGTTCTTAAACATGGCACGACTTACTGTATTATTATTTATTTTATTTCAGACGCCATTTCCGTTAACGCTAAGAGTATGGGACGTATTTTTACTAGAAGGAGATAAGACACTCACGGCCATGGCGTACAATTTAATGAAAATTCATAAGAGTAAGTATCGGATCATTGACAAAGTCTGCATTCATTTTCCCCTCGTTACTTGGTTAACCATGCAGTCTCTGGTATAGTGTAGGTTTTTCTTAAAGGACATTGGCAATAAAAAATTAGTTTAGTTCATTTGTATGAACTCTTAAAACTATATATTAAACTCTATTACAGATTGTTTATATCTTGCTTAGTTTTCAAAATATTTCGACTGAAAAAAGTGAGCTTTTCGCCATTTTGGATTATTGACGATATGCATGTTACGTCAAATTTAGAAATGATTAAAAACATTTCAAACAATGTTGGATTGTTACTCGGTCATTTTACTATTTTAGAGTAGTTTTATATGGTTAACCTTACCCAACTCCATACGTCACCAAAACCATAGTTAATGAGGTCAAGAATTAGTCCAAGACGGCTGACAGCTCGTTAATTTCGGTCTAAATATTTCGAGAACTAAGCAAGATATGAAAAATCGGTAATAGAATGAGACAAACTATTTTTTTGAATGAGACAAACTATTTTTTATTGCCAATATCTTAATTAGCTCGCACATGTGTAAGCCATTGAACTATAAATAAAGTGGAAGGCTAACTCAGGGGGGGGGGATATTGCAGCCAGTGCATTTTAGTTTTTCTGAGTTATGAGCAGAAATACTCAACACTGAACGTTGGGCTATATATCAAATTGAAGCTATTGAAAAACACTATTTGGTGTAGAAATTTCAAGACTTTAGCTAAAAGGGAAATATTGAAAAACTACAAACATAATTACCGTTAATTTGCCGTTTTGCAGTTGTTTTTGTATTTTTTAAATATTTTTCTTTTCGCTGAAGTCTTGAAATTTCCACACCGAATAGCAATTTTCAATAGCTTCAATTTGATATATAGCCCGACGTTTGGGGTCAAGTATTTCTGCTCATAACTCAGAAAAACTATTTTGGCTTCATCAAATCATAGGCCTTCATCATAGCGGTTAGCCTTCCAGTTTATTTATAGTTCAATGGTGTAAGCTTGGCTAGTCGTAACAAGGTATGCGAGCTATTTGAGAACGTGAAATGAAAATATGCGAAGTAATTTTGTTTCATTTGTTGGCAGAAAAATTCGTGAAACAACCCATGGAGGACGTTGTGGAATTTCTTCAAGAGAGAATGAGTGACTATCCTTACAATCTCGATCACATGATGGAATTACTTCAGGAGTCACGGTTTGAGCTCAAAAAAGGCGGCTTAGAGTCCCCCCCTCCCCCAAGTGACAACGAATTCCCCACAGTTGCCCCGGGCTCCTCGCTAAGACGCGGCGTTTATGAAACCGCTTCAGCCCGCGCGCGTAAAAATAGAGAGAAAACTAAAATTATCCAAGTCCCCCCTGGAAAACAGGTGCTCCCCCCGTCTCCAGTTTCGGAAACTGACGGAAAGGAAGCAAATAGACATTCCGTGACGAGGTCTACTTCCAGTCGGCGGTCGGAAACTTCCGGATTAAGTTCGGATAGTAACGTACGACGTTCCGAAAGTCTCGGTCGGTCTTCAAGAAGTGTCGGGAATCATTCGGAAAATGGCGCTAATCTATCGGAAAGTTCGGGAAAATACTCCGAAAATGTCGAACGATCTTTTGAAAGTGTCGGAATGCCTTCGGAAAATGTCGGACGACGTTCGGAGAGGCGTTCAGAAAGACAATCGGAAAGTTCCGGAAATCGTCCTCAGTTTTCCGAAGTACGCTACGTCAGCCCTGAGGCTTCAGTTAAGAATGACGACGAAACCCGCTACCATATGAGAGTAGAAGAACCCCATTTCCCTTCATTAAGGGTTGATGAAGCAGCCCACCACCCCTCCTCAACACCCACCGACGAGCCCCACTCCCCACCCCGTGTAGGCGCAAGCCTATCCAACGCCGAAATTGCAAAATTCAACCAAGATCTCAAGAATTCATACCATCGCTCACAACAACAATTTTTACGAAGCGACAGAAGACAAAATGGCAGCCGGTCTGTACCCCTTGAAAAAATGTCTTCGCCTCCTTCTCGCCTTTCCGATAGCGAACCGAACGACGTACGAGGAAGTACCGAACCAGGCACGATGGTTATAAATTTACCTGGTAGTGTAAATATCGAACGGAGTTATGGTACCGGTGGTTCGCACCCGGAGGTTCGTACCCCTAACGGAACTTCTGCCCTAGGTCATGCTCCCGTATGGCATCATGACGGACCCGAGGGATCAAAGCAGTATACTCTGACCCAGTCACCAAACAGACAGATGACTTTTGTTTGAATGTTAATCGTGTTTTATAACATAGTCAGTCATGGTGTGGTCTTCAAACTCCGTCTTTGTCCATGTTTTATATGCAAACTTTTAACGACAATGAATTATTGGCAAAGCATTTTGATTGTTTCATTATGCCAGCCAATAACTTCATGAAATAAAGTTGGAAACACTAAAATAGAATAGAAGTTTCATCTTGAAACTTAATATTTAAGTAGAACAAGAGGACATAGTATTCGACAGTGGTATTTCGAATTTATTGCAAATTTATCATCAGATTCTATTAACCGTGGACAAATTTGCACAAGCTAACCTATATGTATATACGCGTGATTACGTCAAACAGGAAGAAAGCGTATTTTAAGATAAGGTAAGGTAAACTGTATTTAAACACGCTAACCCATTTAATGTAAATTGTGTCCAGGGGGGGCGTGTAAAATTTACAATTCCTAAGCCTAAGGGGGTGTTTATATGCATGAAGGCGAGCCAGCCCGGGCTAGCTCGCTTTGCCGAGCTGATTTTATCCCGTGTTTGCATGAGACTGTTGAGGCGAGCCAAAACAAACCACTGATCTCACCGCTATAAATAGTATGACATAAATATATTTTTTCACGAACCTGAAATTCGCACTTTCGCGAGCAACGTTCACGGATATAACCCACATAATCGTTCACAGAGACGTTTTACTCAGCCCGCTTAGGCGAGCCAGTCGGGGTCTTTGCGTTTATTGGGAAATTCCCAGCGCGGTCACCCGAGATCTCGGGTCAGTCGAGGCGGGATCTCGCGCGGGCGGGCCACCTGGGTTGCTATTCAAACGCAAAATGAAATTTAGTAAGAAATAATAGCAAAGGCGGGATCTCGCCCAAACTGGGCCAGCTCGGGTACCCGGGTTGGCTCGCCCCATATAGCCAACCCAACCCCTGTATATATTAGTCTGTTGATGTCAATGAATTTGCAATAAATTCGAAATATCACTGTTGAATATTAAATACTAAATTTCAAGATGGAACTTCTATTAGGAGTTTCCCTACTTTGTTTCATCAAACAATCAATCGAAGGGCATCAATCTCGTTGAATCACTCATCTGTCCTCACAAATATTAATAGACAAAATTTCAAAAGATTTGTGGACGGTGAAGGCGTCTCAAAATAAAAGCATAGCTCATTCTAGACGCTTTGAAGCTTTCCGAGTTTCTAGACCATGTCTCGACTGGCTATACGATCAAATGATCGAGCACAAAATTCATATTAATTTTAATATTTTCAAGATCGGTGAAAACGTTAAGCAAATACTTTCAGAGATCTATATATGTATACATAATTCCTTAGTTGTATAGTTTTTAATACTGGATACTAGAGAGCTAAAATATTTTCGTTGATATTTTAAAAATCATTTCTGATAGACGGGTCGCAGTAAGCACTATTTTATGGGAAGCTCCCGGTGGTAATGTCGTTGCGAGAGCGAGAAAATAGGGTAACGGTCATTACTTATGGTGGGAGTTGGCACCGAAGAGAATTGTTTTTTTTGGTAAAAGTTTTGCCGATCCAACCATTAAAAAGTAAAAAAAAATTCTACCCAACTTTCAATATCAATTCACCCTAGCCAAAAAAACTTTACAAAAGGATACCATTCAGTTGTCACACATGTCCTTTACTACTTCTGTGACATGAGTTTGATAACTGCTTGTGCAATTTTCTGCAGTCTAAAGTTTCATGTTGTCTGCACATGTACTTTCTTTGGAGACACCATTTGCCTCCTGACAAATCGGAAAATGATCAGGTCATCAAGATGATTGATTTACATATTGTATTGACATATATGACTGTTGACATTGCTTTTTTAGTCTTCAATATTTGAGTGAGTCATGCTTTGGAAATGACAATACATTTTTATTACCCAACCCTTGAGTTGTTTTGTTTTTCATTTACCCAACCTTTTACTCGCTTAAAATTTTGTTTACCCAACCCTTTTCTCTTCGATTTGCCCCCGACAATAAATAATGCCCGTTCCCTAAGCACAGAGTACTAACCATGCAGAGGTCTCACTTCGCGAGAAAACCGTAAGGTAGTTTTTACTGCGCATATATAGCGGCCATGTTCTTAGCAAGTGTCGTAAAGAGAGGCATTCACCCCCCCCCCCCTGGGACATTAAATTTTAATATGTTTTCAGCGGGGTGACAGCCTCTCGTTAGGGTATACTTGCTACTAGAACATAGCGGACTGGAAAAATCCCTTACGCTGAAATTAATAAAAAAAGTGAGACATCTGTACATGGTATTCTTTGTTTTCAATGACGTAATTTTGGGATTTCAGTTGTCGGGCAGGTATAACAAAAAATGGCTATTTTAATGTATTGATCGAGTTTGGAGACTGTTTAAAACTCAAAAGATGAATGGCCCATTTGCATTATAGACTAAATTTTGATCTAGACAAAAATTTCATCACAGCTTGAAAGAGCATCACAAAATTAGTAATATTCCAAAGTTTCGTTGCGAAATGTTGTAAAATGCGGATAATATAGCCTTGCGAAATTTGCAATTTGCCCCAACACCCGATTGGGCTGTCAATTTTCCGTGCGTAATACAAAATGACTGAAAAACGGCAAACTTCGCAATTCGCATGGCTACCGTAAACTTCCGAATATAAGCCCCCCGAATATAAGCCCCCCCCCCGTCTATAAGCCCATCAAATTACTAACGTTCACACCATTCCGTATATAAGCCCCCCCCCGAATATAAGCCCACCCCTACATAAGCCCACCCGTATATAAGCCCATCACACTATAATACCGGTAAATTACACAAAAAAATCCACTACATTGCATTAAATTTCAACTAAGACTACGTATACGGTATGTATTTATTTATTTAATCAAAGGTTATAAAGGATTACAAAACACTTGACAGTTCGTCCCGATTTTGCCTCAAGGAGTCACGGACATATTTTTTGTGCAGTTTCGGTCCGTAAATATAGTACGTGTTTTCTTACTATTAACCTAAGATGTGGTCCGTGTATAAGCCCCCCGTATATAAGCCCCCCCCCCCATGTATAAGCCCATCAAAAAAGGCTTATGAAATTATATAAGCCCAGGGCTTATATTCGGAAGTTTACGGTATATTATCCGCATTTTACAACATTTCGCAACGAAACTTTGGAATATTACTAATTTTGTGATGCTCTTTCAAGCTGTGATGAAATTTTTGTCTAGCTCCAAATTTAGTCTATAATGCAAATGGTCCATTACCGTTCAGTTTTTCTTGCTACAACCATTCTGATGGGAGAAAGATCGTCCACAAGTTGTTAGATTGCCCGTCATTTGGATGAAAAGTCACGTGATTGCAAACAAAGAATTTACTCTGTGCCCTAAGGTGATCGAAGTAGAGATTTCGTAGAAAAAAGAAAAAAACTAAATCTCTATTTTAATATTTCCTTGGATTGAAATCGAAGGAAATATTAAAATAGAGATTTAGTTTTTTTTTGACCGTATACCTGTCAACACTCCTGATGTTGCTGCATGATGATGCCTAGTGAGACCCTCATATAGAGAATGTATACTAAATATTGTTGAGCAATTTTTAATTGGAGTATTTCTAAAAGTACATAGAAATCCGCATTGTAAAATACTGACTCCGAGACACAGAAATTTGCAACTATGCGCCTTGCACATAATCACTTAGTAAGCTAGTATAGTGGTTTACATTGTATAGGGTATGTTCTTATTAAATTTAGATTAAAGTCATGCAGGTTATTTATACTGGATAGCTCTATCAGTTCTAAATTGTTGTCTGTAGAGGTCCAGTGAGGATCATCTCTCATTGAGCCAGTGTTTCTACATGGGATCCTAATCTGGCCAACTGTATTTATACTGGATAGCTCTATCAGTTCTAAACTGTTCTCCATGCATAGAGGTCCAGTAAGGATCATCTCTTGTTGCTCCAGTGTTACTACAGGAGGAAACCTGAACGAAACTAACTCCATCTGGATATTTTAATAAAACACAAAACAATAGATGACTTAAATTATAGTCGAAACGTATTTTAAGAATAAAAATGTTTACCATTTTCGGAGTGTCTATTGTTTTGTGTTTTATTAAAACACTTTATGGCAACCGCAATTTTATACTGGATAGTTCTATCAGTTCTAAACTGTTCTCGCTAGAGGTCCAGTAAGAGTCAACTCTCATTCATCTAGTGTTACTACAGGAGGAAACCTAAACTAAACTAACTTTTTTTATACTGGATAGTTCTATGAGTTCTAAAGTGTTCTCCCTAGAGGTCCAGTAAGGCTATAATAATTCATGAGCTGCAGTTCTAAACTATAAATCTCGTTGATATTCAATGGAAACGTGAACTAATCATTATACGGCATTGGTTTTCGTTGCCCGTCTAATGGTCTCAGTCCTCCGCTATTTTGGCCCATAGCTTTCTCGCAGCACGCGTGGGAACACGTGGGACTGCACGAACTGGGACAGGGTTGTGTACATTGTCCAGCGGTAAGCCACGACGGTGCATGCGTAGTCTTGCCATTAGTTCCAGTCTCTTGTGCGAACGGCTCGTTACCCGAGGGGTGCGAAGGGATACAACATGTGAAATCACAGTCTGGGGTACACTGCAGTTGACACCGTTCTTCGCACGTTGGCCCTTCTGGAAAAATAAGAAAGGAAAGTGGTTTGATTTGTACTCTAAGAAATGAATCATCACATGATTCATCGCAGGGCTGGAAAAAGTATCGGGCCACGGGATCATTGGTCCCAGAAAATTTTTTGAGTTCCCAGAAAATAGTTCCCCAAGAAAGAAAATCAAACCATTTTATGTCGTTCACGAGCCGAACGAAAATTTTTGAAAATATGAAGTCTCTATAACGTCGCACTTTCTTTCCAGCAAAGGAGGGCGTTCATTCAAGAAATACTTTTTTCATTCTTTAAATGGGGCCACTTCAGCCCAGAAAAAAGGGCGCTTTTTTCACTTTTTAAAAAGTGGGGGGATGGGGGGCACATGCCCCCATTGCCTCCCCCTCCCCCCGGTTCTGCGGCCCCTGACTAAAGATTTTCAAGACGTAAGTTACGTTCAATGATCCAAAGGATACATGCTCAAATATTTTAAAGAGAAAACGTCAAAAACTCTGGTATACATAAGAAATTAAAAATTGTATTCGCTTGGTTAATATTCAGCAAGTTTTAAACTTTATTTTCAACTTAGTGGGTTATTTAACTTTCGGTATAATATATCATTTATAGACCCTCCGCTCAGGGGATTTGTCGAAATGTTAACCTCAGTGATGAAATATCATCTCTTCCGGTAATATTCCGCCGATTCCCCCTCGCTCCGGGTCTATAAATGATAAAGATTCTCAGTGGACTGAAATAATTTTTTTCTGTTAAAATATAGCATGACATTTAGTTTGATAACTTCATTGTTAGTGTCACACAGTTACAGTGGCCAAGTGTCCATTTGCTTTAATATTTGCAGAAAATTTTCAATGTTCTCTTGCGGTCACAGAAAGTAAAATATTTTTCCACACCTCATTCGTCATCAGTGTTACAATGCAAACACAAGATGTAATCTTGAACAATAATAACAGGGTTTGTACGAAACTTGAAACAAATTTTGTACAAATTTTAAAACAAAAATTCAGGTCCTCGAATATCTTTGAATTTGTATAAAGAAGTACTCGAAAGTCCTTGAATTCTCCTTGCTTTAGTTTTTGGATATTTTCTGAAATTGTTTGACATTCAAAACGGACATTTTGTTGAATTGATTTTGCATGTTCATATCTGACAGAGCTGTTTGAAATTCGTTAAAGTTGCGCCCTTTCTGAACAACTCGACGTCACATTTTACTGAATCCTAAGATTTCGAACGCCTTCTCCTCAGTATTTAGTGCTTGAATTTGCTGATACACGATCTTGTTTGAATGTCCTTAAAAAGTCCTTAAATTTTAGTCTTCCTGATAAGTATATGTTATTTTGAGGCAACGAGGGGATATGTGATTTATTCACCGAGGCGCGCAGCGCCGAGGTGAATAAACACACATCTCCGAGGTGCCTCAAAATAACGTACTTATTTTTCACATTGCGAGGTCGCTTTAATGAGTCCGAATAGAAATAATTCTTAAGGCCATATTGCCTTCGTTATGTTGTTTTTTCTCATTTTTTGTGCTGCCAAGACATTGCAGGTGAATATTAGAGGGGATTATTAAACGGAAATTGATTAGAGGGGAATGTTGAATATATTCCCCGCTAAGAACAAAGGAAACCGAGCAGGGTGGAAAATAAGTACTGTTTCGTATTGATAGGGATCAGTGGCGTAACGAGGGAAGAGGGGTTCCTTATGGATATATTTGGTGTGGGGGCCCCTGTTGACTGTTGTCATTGTTTGAGATATTATATTTATATTGAATATTTATAGAATGTTCTGGAAAATTCCTTGTCTATAACAATAACAGTCTCCAATACAACTAATAAGAATAACTTTTGTTTTATTTGAGATGGAATAACAAAATCCGTTGTCGATGGAGGCTTTATTATTTAACATGATTAATTTTGCATTTTCCCATTGATTCTTCACCTGCATTTTTTACGTTTTCTAATTTCCTCGGCGCTAGGCCATGGCTGATGGGGGCCCTCTAACTGTCGGCGGCCCTTAGTTTTTGAACTAACCCTACCTAGTGTGTGTTACGCCACTCATAGGGATATAACTATCTAGCCTGCGAAGCTCTCCTTTTATTTGTCTACGCACACAAGTTTTGTATGAGTAAAAATCAACTGCTACCATGATGGTCCGTCTTGTCGAACTTCTTTGCCCAACTTCGGACAACGGTCACAAGATCATCTTGCCAGTTTGATAAATTTTAAGTGTAAAGAGTGCCAAGAGACGTTTTGCGGTATTGAGGTGAAAAGAATGTCCAACGAGATTAAAGGACCTGGTGTGTTCACACCTTCGCGATTTGTCGTGCACGATTCGTATTCTGGCGCATGTAACTTAGTCTTTCTCATGAAGGCCAAATTCACCATTTTTGGGGTACTTTTTTGAAAACGACGTGAAAAATCTAAGCGATGTGAACACATTTTCTCAAATATTTAACTGTAAATTAACTCATAATGATTATACTCACAATTTTAGTTCTACAAATCTCTATATGGAAAAGGCAGTACCCCCAAAAATGGCGGCGTGAGAAAGGCTCATTACTGTTCACGCCCAAATTCCTCTTCAAATTTATGGCGAAATTTGAAATGCATGCAATCATTTTACGCGCGTGCTTATTTGATTACATACGCCAGAATACGAATCATACATGACGGCAGCGCGAAGATATGACTTTTATCTTCGAGTGGTGAAAACAATAGTTACGAACGAGCGCAGCGAGTGAGTAAAATATTGTTTTTAACACGAGAAGATAAAAGTCATATCTTCAAGCCAACCGTGTAATGGTCCCGAGCAAAAAATTGTGAAATTTCACGCTCAAAAAGTGAATTGGAAAAAGTCACGTGATCGATATCTTCAGTATCTCGCTCTCTACTAATCTTCTATATAATAAACGCTTTTATAGCGCAAATTTACATGTCTACATATGATCAAGAACGCTTCTCATCAAGTATTATATGCTTATCTAATTACTTACTTACCCTATAGGCTATTTTATCTTTACAACAATTGTGGTATTACTTTCTTAACTGTGTTTATCCTAACCCACCCTGTCAACTTTCCCTGTGGGAGGAATCCGGAGCACCCGGAGAAAACCCACGACTTTCGCCAGAGCGTTGACAGACTCTTTTCACATGAGTCCTTAGCAGGGATCGATCGAACCTACGATCTCAGAGGAGAAAGCTACGATCTCACAGAATCACTACGATCTCACAGAATCACTTAACATTCACGTACGTACTTGTTTGTTGTCCAATTACTTCCGATGAAATGACCAGTAAAACCACAAACATATAAATTACCATCTTTTCAAACACGTCTGTTGAGCCTAACAAACCTTTGTGTTATAAGCAAGTGAACAAGGTTTTCGAATTGTAAGCTATATTTTCTTTTACAGGGCAAAATGTTAACATATTATGACGAGTGTCTACAAACTGGAACTATTTGACAGGTAGCGTGGTTAATTATTAACTAACTAAAGCTTGTTACATGCGAGCACATTTTCTATGACAAGTTTTCATCATATATGGAAGTTTTATTTGTGTATACGTACAACAAAGTTTCTATATGACAAGTTTTTTGTTTTTTGTCCACCGCGATAGCTATTATTAGCTATATTACAACAATAGACCGCTCAGTGACCGAAGGCCCATTTCCACTCGAGAGAAATTTCCACTGACAGAAAATCTTTCGAAAATATCATTGTTTAAAGTTGAAAATTTTCAGCTTCAAATTCTCTTTCCGTCGGAAAATGTGTGTAGGCCAATCACATTTTACAAAATTTTCTTTCTGCGTGCGGAACATGATTTTCCCGAGTGGAAATGGGCCTCTGCGGCAGGTACTCAAATCACTTTGCCACATTTTCTTTGTCGACCCAAACAGACGAACAAAATTTGTACTGTGCCAATTTCTTTGACGTCTACATTTGTTCACTGAAAAGCTAGCATACTAGCTTTTGAACAAGTGTACTTGTCAGTCATAGTAAAAATTGGAAAAATTGGCCATACATACGAGCTGAATAAAACTTGTCATGGAAACTTGCAATTTGGGGGCATTGGAGATGACAGCATACTCCGGGTGTCGCCCAAAAAACTGGACACTGCATGTTTGATTTCATGTAACGTAAAAGCTATCGCAATGAAATAAAGATCATTGCATTCAGAAAGGACAATCTTAGATTTTGATATATGACAACTTGAATTTATATGCAGTATTGGGCGAGATACAACCAAAATAAAAATGTTTATTATTTAACAAGTATAACTACATCGGTAATTGTAAAGTTGTTTTGTGCTAATTTTTGGCATTTTCAAAAACACTAGTAGTTCAACGTTCGAACATCAATAGCGCAGTCAATATTGCATGTAAATTCAAACGCTATGTATCACAATCTAAGTTAGTCCTTTCTGAATGCAATATGATCTTTATTTCATTGCGATAGCTTTTTTAGCTTTTGCGTTACGTGAAATCAAACATTGTCCAGTTATTTTGGGGGGACACCCAGTCTAATAATCCATTTCAAGGCAAGTAGTTCACATGGCGACTGAAACTCTATATATATTGGTTACAATTTTAATCAGGATGACAAAATTTTACTTCGTAAGCCATCATGAGGGTACTTCAACAGCCTTTCTGGAAGATTGGAGACAAATCGTTCTCGAGCGAATTTCCAGTCTTGACCTATTGACGTTTCTGAAAAGCTCGGAATTGATCTTTTCTTAACAGAGATCAAGTATTGTTCTGATTTTAATATATATACAGCAGCATCGTTGTCTTTAGTAATAGTACTGTTGATATGGGTGTGGTATAGCCGCTGGCCTTGGGATCGTCGTCCTCTTATCCCAACAGCATTTCTGATTACATACTGGTGCGCATGTGTTAGGGCAGGCGCCAGGACAGGAAGACTGGGTCATACTTGGAGGGGGTTGCATGGCAGTGAAGGCGTTGTTAGCCCCACAACATTGAGATGAACAAGCTGGGGCACAGCCTTGGCTACATGGCGAGGCACATTGTCCAGCTTGCTGGGGTTGTGGACCAACTTGACCTGCTTGTCCGTATTGACCTTGAAGATAGAATGTAGGAATTGATTCAGTTAAACCAAGCTCTTCCAATCTGGCTTTCTCATGCTCGATTCAGTGGTGGTTTGTTATCAGTCTTAGACTAACTTAAAGTGCGACTAACCCCAAATATAATTTTTGGTATGTGTAGTATTTGGGTCATTCTAAGAAGAAATGTAATATTATATCTTTATAGTAAAAAACCTCATCTTAATCAACTTTTTCATTGTCAACGTTTCCGGATATGTTTTCATTAGGTGAATGTTTGGTACAAAAAACAAAGGAAAACTAATTTGCAATTCATCTAATGACATCATATCCGCAAACTTCGACAGTGAAAAAGTTGATCAAGATGGGATTTTTTATTATAAAGATATATTACATTTCGTCTTCGAATGACCCAAATATTACGCATACCAAAAATCGTATTTGCATGTGGTTAGTCGCACTTTAAGTTTTGGAATTCAAGGCAGCACCACAGCATTAGTTCAAAATACTAGTTCAATATTGATAATTAATTTAGTTTGATACTTTTACTGAATAAATAGGGGCGCACCTCTCCCCCCCCCTCCTGCACCCCATGGTGCCCATCCCAAAGCATCCCATCTCGTTCTAAGCCTACCTTGGCCATAGGGTTGTTGCATAGGTGGTTGCATTGGAGGTTGCATAGGTTGTCCATATCCTTCATTCTTTCCTTTCTTGCCCTTCTTTCCTTTGCCTTGAGGCTGGCCGCCATATGGGTTATATCCTTGGGGCTGACCGCCATATTGTTGGTTATATTGACCATACTGTTGGTTTTGCCCATACCCTGCCTGACCAAACTGGTTCTGAGGTGGGTATGCCCCTTGTTGTTGTTGGTACGGTGATGGTTGACGATAACCTTGACCATACTGATTGTTTGGTTGACCATACCCACCACCGTGCTGGTTGGATCCATACCCTCCTGCTTGACCAAATTGATTTGGTCGTGCGTCGTTCTGCGCATGCCCATGTCCAGCTTCGTGTTCTGCTGCTTGCGCTGGGTTTAGTTTACCCCACGAGTCATCTTCAGGATGTCCATCTGAAGAAATAAAATATGTGTTGAAATTTGGGCATCTCGCTATGACTAACTGTTGAACAGATTTCTAGATGGAAATTTCCAGTGGAATTTTTATACATTTACTACACCTAACCAGGAACAAATGGTTATTGTAAATGTATGGTAAATGTATAAATATTCTGTTCTTCCTAGAGGTCCAGTAAGGATCATCTCTTATTGATCCAGTGTTACTACAGGAGGAAACCTAAACTAACTTTATTTATACTGGATAGCTCTATCAGTTCTAAACTGTTCTTCCTAGAGATCCAGTAAGGATTATCTCTATTGATCCAGTGTCACTACAGGAGAAAACCTAAACTAAACTAACTTTATTTATACTGGATAGCTCTATCAGTTCTAAACTGTTCTTCCTAGAGATCCAGTAAGGATTATCTCTTATTGATCCAGTGTTACTACAGGAGGAAACCTAAACTAAACTAACTTTATTTATACTGGATAGCTCTATCAGTTCTAAACTGTTCTTCCTAGAGGTCCAGTAAGGATCATCTCTTATTGATCCAGTGTTACTACAGGAGGAAACCTAAACTAAACTAACTTTATTTATACTGGATAGCTCTATCAGTTCTAAACTGTTCTTCCTAGAAGTCCAGTAAGGATCATCTCTTATTGATCCAGTGTTACTACAGGAGGAAACCTAAACTAAACTAACTTTATTTATACTGGATAGCTCTATCAGTTCTAAACTGTTCTTCCTAGAGATCCAGTAAGGATTATCTCTTATTGATCCAGTGTTACTACAGGAGGAAACCTAAACTAACTTTATTTATACTGGATAGCTCTATCAGTTCTAAACTCTTCTCCTTAGAGGTCCAGTAAGAGACGTGCTTTATTTGTCTAATGTCCCCACAAATGGAAACCTAAACCAAACTAAGTATTCCAGTATTTGTTAGAGTCAATTAAACTGGAAGCATTTTAATTGACTCTAACAATTTTGAGTAGTTTAGAACTGTTTCGAGTAGTTTAGTGTAGGTTCCCTCTTGTAGTAACACTGGATCAATATGACATGACAATTCTGGACCTTTAAGAATTAAGGACGAAGTAAGAATCGACAGAGCTATCCAGTAATGCGGTATAAGTAAATTCAACTTACCAAGGTATTTTCGTGGTATGGCTGTAGCCACGGATAACAATATTGAAACAATTACAAAATACTTCATTCTAAAACAAAAACATCCACTTATTAAATTTCTTTCTTTTCAGGGGAAAAGTACTGGATCAGAAGAACTGCATTGGCACAGGTTTGTTGACTGTCTGTTAGCTGTAGTTGATCTTTTAATTCCGAGGTTTCAAACGACAGCACAAGGTCGGGATGCTTTGGTTCCTCAGGCTATACCGACACATGCTTTCCTTTAGTTGATATTGAAAATATAAACTAACATAAAAATAAACAGTTCGGGATTTGATTGAACTCACCAAACGAAAGGCTTTCGTCTAAATATTTTTACTGTAGGTATAGTTCAGACACAAACCACGGCAGCTTGTCGTAGAATACTACATACAGGCTATACACTAGACCACCACGTTTGAGATATCTTTTTCAGGTAGTCCGGACATAATCCACAACAGCTTATTGCAAAATACTCGAACGGTGTAGGTAGAGACGATAAAAAATAGCTGCAGTGTGAAGGATAAACAACTATACCTGAAAATATTAGCAGAACTTTAAAATCTGGGCAGATTCTGATCTGCTTATATACTTTCCAGGCAGTTTTATATTCTTCACACTCAGCTGTTTATCGTGGAATACTAGCCAAACTAGACTTCCACGTTTAATAGTAAGAATGTATTATTGAGTGAAAACTAACCTTATTTTAAACTAATCCCCTGTTTGTTTCGCACCACAATAATAACAAGAACAATGTTTCTGTTAGGACGATATCTTGTCAAGCGTTTCACGCCACATGAACTGACCTCATTTCATAAAAATGCCGGCTACGTTTTTTGCTAATAAGAACCTGCCCGTATCTCCTAGATAACCGTATATTCCGGTCTCTTTGGGGTTTAAAATAAACTATGTATTGTATAGTAAGTTTAGTTCTAACTGTTTCTCTTGACAGGGAGAAAATACATGTTTTAGCTTTGGCTTTTGGCAAGATTTTTTTCTGCGGGTGAAACATGTGCCGCCCTAGGAAGCCAAAATGTCGCAATTGTTTTTTTCTTACGAACGCGGGCGTTCCACTGACTGTATATCTACATTACTATATTCAAAAAGCCTGGCAATAAGCCGTGTCGTGGTTTGTGCTTCAACTACCTGAAAAAGATATCTCAAACATGAGGGTTCAGTTTTCGCAGCTGTTCCCGGTTAGGTCTAATAAATGTATATAATAAAATTTCCACTCGACAATCTTCATCTACAATACCCTTCAACTATTATTGAATGGAGTGAGATGCCAACAAAATCTTGATATTTATCCATAACCTAAACATGGCAGTACCCTAGTATATATACATGAACTTGTGGTTAGAGCTCGACAACTGTCTCTCTGTAGCTCAGTTGGTTAGAGCTCGACAACTGTCTCTCTGTAGCTCAGTTGGTTAGAGCTTGACAACTGTCTCTCTGTAGCTCAGTTGGTTAGAGCTGGACAACCGTCTCTCTGTAGCTCAGTTGGTTAGAGCTAGACAACTGTCTCTCTGTAGCTCAGTTGGTTAGAGCTAGACAACTGTCTCTCTGTAGCTCAGTTGGTTAGAACTCGACAACTGTCTCTCTGTAGCTCAGTTGGTTAGAGCTCGACAACTGTCTCTCTGTAGCTCAGTTGGTTAGAGCTCGACAACTGT